CGTTCAATTGGTAGAAGTCCCTCGTAGAAGTATTGTAAAAGTAGTTCCTCCTTCATTTGATGCTGTGGACATGAAGCAACAAGAGATTTAAAACGTTCATAATAAGTAGGAAAGGATTCACCTTCATCTTGTTGAATGCCACTTATCCTTTTGCGTAGGAGGATGACTCGAGAAGTTGGGAAAAACTTCTCTAAGAAAGCTCGTTTCATGCTCTCCCATGATGTGACAGTTCCGGGAGCCAATTCGTACAACCAATCTTTCGCCTTCTCTAGGAGAGAAAAGGGAAAGGCCTTCATCTTCAAGATGCTCTCATCCACGTTCACCAGAGTCATGCTTGAGCAAACGACTTCAAACTCTTTCAAGTGCTTGTTCGGATCTTCCATGGACAACCCATGGTACTTTGGAATGTGATGTAACAAGCTTGACTTCAATTCGAACTCGCCAGTTTTGTCCGGAGCCGCCCTAGCGTATTGGATACATAGAGGTGCGGCATTATCCAATCCCGAAGCGGAAAGCTCCTTGATCGTTCGGTTGTCCGCTGCCATGTCTTCCACTTCCTCTTCAAATTCAGAAACGGACTCGGAACTTGCACTTGATTCACTAGGTTCCGGGTTCTTCCTCTTACGTCTCAACTAACGCTCAAAATCGTCATCAAAGTCTAAAATATGTTCGTGAACCGGATTAGAGCTCCGAGTCATAAACAAGTACCTAAAACAAGAAACAAAATAACATAAGAATCTGATCTAATAAAAAAAACGAAAATAACAATCCAAGGGATTAGCAAAGTTGCTAATCCCCGGCAACGGCGCCAAAAATTTGATGCGAAATATATAAGCACACAAATTAAACCCTCTTTTTTATCAATTGTAGCAAAGTATGTAAGTAGGGATCGTTCTAGGCCGGGGATTAGGAGGGATTGCAAAATCACTTGAAAACTGACTCAAATACGTAAAAACAAGTTTAAAACACTAAACTAGACTTAAAGAATGCAAAACTAAACTTTAAAATACCAAAACAAACCAAAAGACTCAAAACAGCCCAGAAACACTCAAAACTGCCTTAAAACCACAATCTGGGCAGTTTTGAACACTAGACACAAACTTGGACGAAAATTGGTTTTAACTTGACCTAAGACACTTAAAAACACAAACTAAAGTGATTTCTAACTATTATGACTCAACAAAGTAAAGGGGGATTGATTTTGGACGAATTTAAAAACAACACAAACTTTGTAAACTAGAACAGATTTTAAAAACGAATTTGATTGAATTGAATGGATGGACGGCTAGCTAAGGGGTTCATCTCCACACATGTTATACTTGCATTCAAAACGATTTCCAATTGCTTTTCAATAAACCATGAATTCTCAATGCCCCAAGTTAATTAGGTCCGCTTAAATTAACCTTCAGATTTCCCTAACATTATTGAATTGGATGATCGCATACGACAACCCAAAGCATTCCCCACAAGTCCCCTACATGATTGCATAATAGAGATACAAGCAAGAATCATTAAGTTCTATGAAAACCATAAGCATTGACGAAGCACTTGTTACTATGATTGCATGAAACTTATGCCAAGAATTTACTTAACGCGATTGAGATCATCAACCTTTACTACTTATGAATATAAGTCCATAACGATTAGGTGAAATTTCCTTATATCCTAGCATTCAATTTATGCATGATAATTAAGCGTGCACTCTCAACCAACACACACAAATCAATGTAATTCACATAGACAAGTAAATTGAATTCACAACTTATGAAACGCAATTAGAAGTAATCAAATCATATCGCAAGCATAAACATGTATTTCGAATCCCCCCCTAGCCAAGGGGGGGTTTAGTTCCTCATACGCACAAAACAAAGAGAATTGAATTTAAACATTGAAATCAAAGGAAAAGAAACACCTAGAAATTCCAGCGACGCGAACTTGATTTGTATGAACTTCCAAGCTTCCTTCTCCTCCTCCTTGGTGCGGCAAAGGACTTTGGACAGGTTCTTTGGGGTTATGGATGGCGTAGAATGGATGGGGGATGTGTGATGGTGTATAGGGTTGATGGGTGGTGCGGCTAGGGTTGTTTTTAGGCAGAAAATATGGAATATGGTGGTGGGAAGGTGCGGCAGAAATCAAGGTTTAATTTCTGGCGTGAATGGTTGTGTATGAGAGGTGGTGATCTGATATAGGGGTTAATATGAGTATATATAGGCACTTAAAACCCTAGGGTAATCAGATATGGACTTAGATAACCCAAATCCACAAGGAATTAGGCTTAGAAATCAGAATCCACAAGGGAAAAGGTCCACCAAGGTGTGGCTGGATAGGGAGAGGAAGGATAAGGCTTCTAGAATGCCTTGCAAGGTAAGGAACTAGGGCATCTAGAAGCTAGGGTGCGGCACCAATGTAGGGATTAGGGATAGGGCTTCTAGAAAGCCCCAAAACTGATAGGAAATGTAGGAACTCACGACAAGGAGGGGAACACTCTAGAAACTTCTCATTTGTGTCCTACAACACTTATGAGTCCTTCTAGCATTAGGAAAACATGTCTCAATCCTCCATTGACTTGGAATTCTTCTCCTTCTTCATCTTGGAAACCTTTCCTTCTTGGACTTGGAACACTTCCTTGTTGCTGAAACTTGACGCCATTTGGATTTAACTTTCCTACTTCGAGTAGGAAACCTTGTTTGAGTAGGAATCTTCATTCTTCTAGGAATCCATCTTCAACTAGGAATCCCTTGTTGATTAGGAATCCTTCTTCAATTAGGAATCCTTTGTTGACTAGGATTTCATCTTTTAATTAGGCGCTTTCCTACTTCGACTAGGAAACCTTGTTCAAGTAGGAAACATCATCTTCAAATCTTCAATTTTGTCCATCCTCTTGGCTCCAAGCATATGATGTCCATTCCAAGCTCTAATTTGCTCCAAAAGGCTCCAAAATGCATCCTTTTGCATACTTTGCCCTTAGAACCTGAAAACACATAAACTAGCTTAAAAGACTACTTTACTAAGGAAAAACACTATAAATGCACAAGAACAAGCTAAACTAAGGCGCATAAATATGCTCCTATCACCATCTTTTCCACAAACTTCAGGTGGTTTGGTTCAAGCTTCAGCAGGAGATGCACAATACTCCACTCCTTGAACCAATTAGTCCACACTCGGTTTATCTACGCGGACGATCTCGAAGTTGACCAGCTGAAATAGAAAAAAAGGGTATTAGTTTAAAAAATACACAAATAACTAAAAGTAATAAAAATAATAAATTGTAAAATACAAACTTACGGATATCTCTGTCATCATCGCCTCTTATACCTTGGGGGCGAGCTTCTTCCATGTAGGGAATTTCATAGGGCACTTGGTGCGAACGATGGTTCCTATGTCATGAGTGAACAGGCTGTTGACTTTGACATCCGCTTGCCAATGTCCTAAGTTGTAAATGACCTTGCGTTTCAGTTCGAGAACAAGCCTCCATAGATCCCCCACAGTTTCACCTTCTTCACATCCCCGACTGGGAGTTCTCCGTCTCCTGTCGGGGGCATGGTCGAGGAATCGGTACCGGCCTCCACGGCGTCAGCAACGAGGATGGGCTCGCACAGTGCCAGGCCGTTTTCAACTGCAAATACGCAGGACAGATTATGCCCCTCAGACTGACGAGACTGATGCAGTGAGTCTGGCCACCGACATGGTCCTCGCCAGTGGAATATTCACCATCTTTGTGCTGGATCATTTTCACCTAAACCACAGGCAGAGCGACGACCACTGGTCATCAACTGCGATGACACTTGTGAAAAAAATCACAAAGAAACATTTAATTCCACATTAATTCTAATAAATAATAATAATTTCTAAAAAAATTATTAAATAACATTATTTCGTCAAAATTCAAACAAAATATTATACATATACTAAAACCCAAACTCGGGTGGCACTGTTTTTCACTGTTCGTGAACAGTGTTTGGATGGAAATGACCTCGGTTTCTTCTTTGTTCTGCTTATTGTTTCCACTTTCTACAGTGGAAAGTCGGTTGTGCCCTTCTGCGTCTTTCATCGTTTCTTTCTCTGCTCTAACCGCATCGTTTTTACTTTACCTTTTCTCTTCGTTTTTTCATCTCCGTCGCTCTGCAATTTTCTCCTTTATCGCTCCCTCTTTTGCTGCCAAATCTTTGCTCTTTCTTCGCAAAATAGTCTTAAAAGAGATCCTGACTTTAATTTTATTGGGTATTTGGTTTCCGGTCTTCTCTGGTGTTGGACCCTTTGTTTGATTTTATTGGCTGTTTTGTTTCCGGTCTTCTCCGTTGTCGAACCCTTTGTTGGTCAGCGTTTTGTTCTCATCTTGCCATCGTTGGGATCAAAATTTGAAGGTCAGTTTGTTTTCAACGTTTTATCTTTATTTTTTGATCTCTAGGGTAAGAAATTTAAGCTCTTTGTTTATTTTTTTTATTTTTTTGCGGATCTGGAGGTTGGGACAAATTTTTTGTCAAATTGAAGGCTGATCATGTGCTACCTCTTCAGATTATTGATAAAGAAATTATATTGAGCTTAGCTATGTTTAAAACAACTATGTGCAATTTTCGATTCTTAGTTTGTGTTTATTTGAAAGGAGCCTTGCCAAATCGGTTTTATCTTTTGTGTTTACGATGGTTCTAATAAATTGGTTTTCCATGTGAGTAATTTTTTGGTCCAGAATTGTATATGTTTGGAAGAAAGTCTGATATAAGTTGAGTTGGTAATGTTTTTTCGCTTTGCTTCTGATTGGTGTGTGTGGTTGCTTCAGATCTTGATCGTTTTTTAAGAAGGGAGACTCGATTTGTTCTGATTGGTGTGTGTGGTTACTTCAGATTTTAATCATTTTTTATCAAGAGAAACTCAGTGTGCTTTCCACTTATTTTGGAGTTGTCTTCGTTATTGGTTTGAGTGAGTAATGAGCGAGGAAAAAGCTTTGAAAAGGAAAGTATTAAAAAATGTTTAAGGGTTTTACAAAAATTTAAAAGCTTAAATACTTAAATACAACTTTCTTTAGATTAGTATGCAGAAATCAAAAGGCTTTGAAAGGCACATTGTTTAAAATCATTTGAAGCTTTTACAAAGGTTTGAGAGCTTCAGTGATTAATTAGTGCTTAGTTATGAATTCAACCATATGTTTAGTTAAATTAAACAATGATGTAATGCTGAATTAAGGTGTGTGATTCAATTACCATTGTGAAAATTAGCACTTTTTATATTGGGGATTAAGAACATTGATGGTGGCAATTTTTCTGAATGGTGAGGTATTTCGTTTGCTTTCGTTGTCAAATAGCGTTCTCACATGGGTGGAGAACAATACATATATTGTATATGGTGGATCAATAACAAACACTTTGTTTGGTTCAAATTTTTGGATAATTTGGTATTATTCCAGAGATAATGCAGACAAGAAACTGTTAACTCTTATTTATTAAATAGATGTATCGAATATGTTTTGCATGGCAAAGATCATATCTGTTTGGTTAATGATACAACTATTCCAGCTTTTCTTAATTGAGTGGAGTGTATTGCAGGTCATTAGGCTCCTTTTGCTTCCAAAGTTTTTGAACCTGACCGAAGTCAGTTTGCTGAATCGCTTTTGCGTGTTAGTGATGTATGATTTTCTTTTTTGCACAATCATGATAAAAAACTGAATTTGACTTATTTGATTTTGGGTTTTTGTTGTTCCTGTTGCTAATTTTGTGTTTTTTTTTTCCAGTTTTTTTTGGCAGTGAAATCATCGCTGCCACCTAACAAATCTAGCTGCTGTAATATCAATTGTTATTGTTGGAGGGAGGTAAAGTTACTATCTTGCTTTATAAAGTGTAGGATTTTTTTTTTTGTATTTTTTTTTTCTTTGTTTCTTTCTTTGGCTTCTCTAAAATTCTGTTGGTATAATAGTTCATTTTTTTTTGCTGTGGCTTTGTACAATAGTGTGTCGTGTTGAAACACACTGTTTTCATTATTGGTTATAGTTATTTGTTCTGTTTTCACACTTTTTTCATACAAAATGTTTAATTGCTGACTCATTCCTCTTTAATGCCATGTTAAATTGTTTTGAAACTAATAACGAGATAAACAAACTCAGACAATATTAAGGCTGCTCAGTGTCTGCTGTTCACTGAATAAGTGTTGATAATATTGATCCAGCGTAAATTTTATTCTTACACCAGTCTTAATACTCATTGAGAAAACAGTTTGGTGATAATCTAAGTATTAAACAAGCAGATGCAGTTTTGGCATCAATTTCAATTATTGTATTTATTTTCTATTTGGCCAATTCATGATTTCTTTGGTTGATAAAAGGATGAAAGCAAAGAAGATGCACATTTTTATCAGTTGTTATATTAATTTATATTTTTTTATATTAAATTTGTAATTCCATTGTCTAGAGTGACTTCAAAACAAGGTTTAATTTTTTTAATAACAAACGGAGAAAATAATGTTGACAATTATACTTTGAATATAGTATTTAAAGATGTCTTACAAATTTATAATTACGTGCTTCGCTTTATGACCTCATAGGTAAAATTTTTTATATTTATTTAAATATAATTGAAGAACATGTACAATGCTATTTATCTATAATTTTCTGATTACTGCTAAACATAATCAATGTCTTCTTTTTGTATATGCAGAATGAAAAACAGATTCTTTGCAAGCATCACACAAAGGCCATCATTTATTCTGTATGAAAACCACAGGTTAATTCAGTCTTAATTGGTTTTTTATTTATTTAATACAAAACGTATTAAATAATATATCCATTTCTATATTCATTCTGTCACGATGTTGTTCTAGCATCTATTTCTGCTTTTCAAGTTTTCCATTGTGAAATTACAATATTGGTATTTGATTTTCGTATTTGATTAACTGTTCACGTCCCATTGGTTCTGTTATAGAAACTTGCACATTTTCACAGGTTCTGTATAACAAACATATCTATATGTATTTATTTCTTTGATTGAATTGTTTTATTTTCAGATTTGTAGCCAATGATCTTTTACCGATTGTCTAAGAGCTTCCATAGGACTTGCTCTGTGCTATTCCTTTGCAGTAACCTCCATTAGGGATGAAAAAGCTACAAACGACATTGTAAGTCTCAAAAGGTTTAAGAAATTTTAAATCTTTTCATCACATGGTTTTCAAAATTTTCATTATGTTTGAATTTGTATCTGATTTCATATTCTAGCGAGTTCATCGTTAATTTGTCATCTTTGTTATATGAAATGATAGAGAACAGTTTCCTAGATGCAATGTTCATTTATTCTTAATCATAAATTTAATTTAATTTTGTAGGTTCACCTTTTTCCAAAAGAAAATTAATATGAAAATCCAACTGAGGTGTAAATCCCTGCGTTTACTTAACGTTTATAATTCATCCTTCCCCACCCTGTATCCCAAATTACAATTGAAGACTTCAACGGTATGTACCAACAATTCAAGCTTTATTCCCTTTTTTCACTTAATATTTTAGTTTTACATTCAATCTTTACTAAGATTTTTTCTCAGGAGAATTGGTTGTTACCAATATAAATAATGACTATCTTCTTTTGACTTACTCTAGAATACATGACTAATCCCTTCCCTGATCACTGAGAAGTTTACTTCAATATCTAAAAGTATTAGCCAAGACGTTCCCATTACAAGTATACCCTGTCCACATGGCTTAATTCAACAAAAAAACATTTGGTAATAGATAAATTGTTAAATCTATCTATATATCATTTTTATTGGTTATTGGCTCCATTTAACAATTCCTCTGTTTCTAAAATCTTCTTTCATTTAGTTAAAGCATGTGAAACAATTACATCTTTGGTTAGACCATCTTTGTTTATACTTTTAGACATCCATCTTAAACCCCTCAGTGATCAGCACAGTCATTAGCCATGTATTACAACTAAGCCAATAGAAGAAAGTCTTTACCTACAAATTGGTAACAATTGATTCTTCTCAGAAGATGATCGTTTGTCCGAATTATGCAAGTTGAAATAACTTAGCAACTTATACCTCTATACTATATAGAACAGTGAACTAAACGTATTTGGTCCATTTTTGTATACCGTCTCCTATTTTTACAAAAAAAAATTTATACAAAATTGACTGTTAATTAACAATATAATTATTCAATTTGATCACACAATGCTTTAGTTCTAGGTTTTTTTTTTTTTTTCCCAAAGGTGCACCAATATAAGACTTTCGATTAAACACCAACATGATTACGTTTGTGATAAGACTGCAATTATACAATTAGTATTCGCTAAATATTACTTTTGATATATGAGGTTCCTGAAAAAGAGAACGGAAGCATATTGTTAGCTTAGATTTATATTTCTTATTACTTTCATGCAGATTTTGATTCCTGACCTTTTCGGTTCTAAAAACAATTTGATGCATAAGAATTTATTCATGCTTACTGTTATTTTACAGCATAACCCGTTATTCTGTAAAGCATCGCCTCTAATCATCATTCATTTGAAGGTACACCATTCTAACACTATCTTTTATTTGCTTTGATAAAATTATTTCTCAGCTGTTTAACTTATAAACAATGACAATATTATTTGTATACACGAAAATTCCTGTGATGAATGAGACAAAAAACACGTGTACAAAATAATATTTGTATTGATGATTTAGGGGTTACAATCTCTTCTACAAATTTAGCCTCTGATTATATCTTTGCAATGGGTGGATTTGATGTTGTTGGTCCAAAGGGCCGTCGGGGCTTGATCTTGGGATAAACAGTTGTGCAAATTTGTTGACGTCGTGGATCCAAAGGGCCGTCGGGGCTTGATCTAGGGATGAACGAATGATGAACGATGGACACTTTCTTCAAGGGCCGTCGGGGCTTGATCTTGAATCAGCGGAAGTTCTTCAAGGGCCTTTGGGGCTTGATTTTGAATGGGGATTTGACGAAGAACGAAGAGAGCTCTCTTGATCCTTCGGGATTTGCTTGGGAGCTTTTGAGTTTCAAAGCTTCAAGGTTGTGGTATGAGGTGAATTGGCACGTATTTTGTTGCGCTTATTGACTTTCCACAGCTTTGATCTTGAACTGGTTCAGAGGATTTTCTGGTTTCCTCCAATTGTTGACTTTCCACAGCTTCGATCTTGAACTTGTTCGGATGACTTTTTTGGTTTCCTCCAATTGTTGACTTTCCACAGGTTATTCTTGAACTAGGTTTTGATTTAAGGGTGGTAGACACTTAATCTTGAATCAGACTTGTGATTTCCTCAAGGGTCGTCGAGACTTGATCTTGAATTTGGCTGGAAACTTCTTCAAGGGCCGTTGAGGCTTGATTCTTGAAGGTTGACTTGAACATATTGCAAGCAGGCACGAGGTGAAAGTGACGACTTGTTGCTTTGTTCAATCTTTCTAATTCACACCTGAGCAGTTTGGTCAACGGTATAATCTTCAAGATTGATGAGCTTTTCTTCCAGTTGGTGACTTGATCTTTAAGGATTTGATTCAAGGGTGGTAAATCAGCACGTGTAGCTCACAACGTCTAGCGGGCCGACCCAAGAATTTAAGGGTCAAAACAGGTCCACCAAACCCAGAGTGATTGAAACCCTAATGATATGAGATACTTTTGATTTTGAAGAAGTAACGGATGAATCGACTCGTGTTTTGTTGTGCTTGTCTCTACATGCTTCAATGTATCATTTTCCCTTGCCTTATCTGTTCTTCAGGCAGATGTGGTATTTTCTCTAGAAGCATAAGATGTTGAAACAATGGGTATTTCGAGAGCAGTGCTAGGTAAGCAATCAGGGAAGGGTTCCAAGCAGTTGATTCCAGATCGGAAGTTTAATACCAAGTGCTGTCTGATTGCTTTCTTTCTCCTTATCCCGCAGGTAAAAAACAAGGACAAAGAAAAGGTTAGGGAGAAAGCATGATATGAAATACTCTTGCTTTCGAAGAAGTGGTGGCGATTTGACAGCGTTGCACAGCGAGGCTTTGTTCTTCGACGATGGTGCCGCCAATATGTTTGTTGAAACTTCTCGAGCTCTTGGATTCAACTCAGACTCCTTCTGCTGGGTTGGTTGATTGTGCAAGGAAGGGGAGACTTGATCTTGAAGGAAATCAGCACGTTGTCTCCACATGTTTCAAGGTATCATTTTCACTTGCCTTATCTGTTCTCTGGGAAAATATGGCATCTTCTTCGGAAGTACATCAGCAACTGAAGATGAGTACTCAAGAGCAAAGCCAGGTAAGCAACCGGGCAAAGGTTCCCGGTAGTCGGTTCCTTGCCCGGAGTTTGAGTGGAGGTTCCGACATATTGCTTTCTTTATCCTTGTCTTTGCAGGTAAGAACAAGGACAAAGGAAAGGACAGGGAGAAAACATGATATGAGATACTCTTGCTTTCTACCCTGGTGATATGAGATACTTTTGCTTTGGATGTCATTTGTTTGCAGAGGTACTCCAGGAGATGAAGAAAACTGGGTATTTCGAGAGGCTCTGCTGAGAGTGTACTCTCGAAAATGAGGAAGGGTTAGGCATTTTTACAGGTCTGCCTTGCTTTGGACGGTGAAGGTGGACAGTTATAGGAAGTTCTTTAATACCAGTAGAGGTACTATTCTTTCACTCGTGTTGGCAACCATTGAGTGATTGATTAGTATGGCTCTACGCGCTTTCTTCTTCATCAGAAATCTTCGACAAATTGCCCGTAATTTCCGCAAAGCTAAGTGTGCATGTGACAGGTGCTGACGAGGCTGAAAAAGACTGGCGCCTCTTCGATATCTGAGATTGGCGCTTCGACAATTATCCGTGATTTTCGCAAAGCTGAGTGTGCATGTGATAGGTGCAGAAGCAGTTGGAATTTGAGGTAGAATGCAAGGCATTGAGCTTCACTACCGGCTAGTCGTTTGACGACGGTTATTGAAGTTCTTCGTCGTCAACATCGGCCCACGATTTCGTGTTCAATTCCAGCATTTTGAGCTGTCAATGCTGCTGGTGCTGCCAGTGCCTTCTGGACAATGTCAGCTCCAAGCCGCTCATCTGCATCAACAAGTTTTTCCCTTGATAGCAGGAACATATGCTGAGAGATGTACCAAAGCAGCACCATCACCAGGCACAATCCCTTCCTCTATGGCAGCGAAAGTAGCATTCTTGGCATCCTCAATACGGAGTTTATGGTCCTCAAGTTCGGTCTCTGTAGCAGCGCCGACCTTTATAACAGCAACTCCACCTGACAATTTGGCAATCCTCTCAGCCAATTTTTCTGTGTCATAAATAGAATCCGTGTCGGACAGCTCTTTCTTTAGCTGTGCAATTCTGGCTTGCAACTCATCTTTTGATGCTGCATCAGTGATAATGGTAGTGGAGTCCTTTGAGATTGTCACCTTCCGGGCCAAACCAAGCTGCTCAACTAAGGTGTTCTCAACCAGTAGACTCAGATCGCTGGCTTGAAACTCAGCTCCTGTCAAAATGGCAATATCTTGGAGGAGAGCCTTTCTCCGTTCACCAAAACCAGGAGCTTTGATAGCGGCAACATTCAATATACCCCTCAACTTGTTCACAACAAGAGTCGCCAAAGCCTCCCCAGAGACATCCTCAGCAATTATGAGTAGAGGGGCTCTCAACTGAGTGGTCTTCTCCAATAGAGGAATTATGTCCTTGATAGCTGAAATCTTCTGGTCAGGAACCAAAACTCTTGCATTCTCAAATTCAACACAACAACCAACTTCTCAGGGTTTGTAACGAATTGAGGAGAGATATATCCTCTGTCAATCTCCATTCCTTCTTCTTCCTCGACGCTGGTCTCAAATGAAGATGATGACTCAATGGACAATACACCATCAGATCCAACCTTGTCAATAACATTAGCAATCATTGTCCCAATTTGCTCATCGTTCCCGGCAGAAATAGATGCGACAGCTTTAACATCATCACGACCCTTAACAGGCCTAGACTTATTCTCTAGTTCATCCACCAGCCCTTGCACCGTTTTCTCAATACCCTTCTTGATTGAAACGGGATTTGCACCAGAGGTCACACTCAAGAGCCCTAGCTTGATTATTTCCCGTGCAAGAATTGATGCAGTTGTTGTTCCGTCACCAGCAGAGTCATTGGTCTTGCTGGCAACCTCTCTAATGAGAGCTGCACCAGCATTCCCCATGGCGTCAGGTGACTCAATAGCTCTGGCAATTGTGACTTCGGTGGACCCATGATGGCGTCGATCAGTCCGTCGGCGCAGAACGAGAGGGAGCAGTGGTCGATCCAGATTTTGCGAGCGCCGAAGAGGGAGATGCCGTCGCCGTCGGATTTACCGCGCCAGCCAACGTGGGTGGGGTTGGAGGCGATGTTGGTGTTGCCGGCGGGCTTGCAGTGGTGCACGTGGATGTTGACGCCGCGGCCGTCGATGGTCTTGAAGCTGTTGACAATGAACTCGTATTTGAGCTTAATGGTCATGTCGGCCGAGAAGCTGATCCAGAAAGGTTTTTTTTGGATGACGGCGTGGCGGAGCGTGCCCGGAGTTGGGTTCGCTGGGTTGGAATCGGAGGAGTCGGTGACTGGAATGTAGAAGGGTTTGGTTGGAGGAGAAAACCCGAAATGGGTTTTGAGAGCTGGGTTTATTGGAATTTAGAAAGATGGGCCGCCCTTTTTTTTTTTTTTTCACAAGGAAAATGTTTGTATTTGTAATAAAAATATACTCTCGATAGTCAAATATTCAATAAAATCTTATTATTATTATTATTTGTTTTTTGCTGTATATATATATATTATACACACACACATATATATATACACACATACATATATATATACATACATATATATATATACATTTTTTTTTGTAATAAAATTGACTCTATTTAATAAAACATTTATTTTTTTATTTTGATGTGACTGAACTTGAAATTGAATATTCAAGCTACCTACGTACCCTTCCAAAGAAAAGATCAAGTCAAAACGTAGTTCAAATACATTTTTTTTTTTTTGGTATTTTCTTTTGGTGCCGTTTGCAGTTTCAACTCGTGCAGACAAGGAGTGTTGGTGTCGTTTGCAGTTTCAACTCGTGCAGACAAGGAGCATTGGTGTCGTTTGCAGTTTCAACTCGTGCAGACAAGGAGCATTTGGTGTCGTTTGTAGTTTCAACTCGTGCAGACAAGGAGCATTTGGTGCCGTGTTGCAGTTTTAGCTCGTGCAGGCAAGGAGCATTGGTGTCGTTTGCAGTTTCAGCTCGTGCAGGCAAGGAGCAGTTGGTGTTGCCTTTTATGCTCGTGCAAACCAGGAGCGTTGTGCCATGCAGTTTAGGCTCGTGCGGACAAAGAGCTTTGGTTGTGGCCTTTTAGGGGTAGTAGCGCTTCAAGGATCTTCCATTGATAGGGCTAATCTTCAAGCCGTCTTCTGCCATGATTAAGTAGGCGCCGTTGGTGTAAACCTCTTGTATTACGTATGGTCCATCCCACTTTGATGTGAACTTGCTTTTCGTCTTGTGAGTTGTGACGATAGGCCTACGCAATGCGAGGACGAGATCTCCAATTTGGAAAGACCTTGGGCGGACCTTCTTGTTGAATGCCTTGGATAGCCGTGCTTGGTAGCATTCCAAGTGTTGTTGAGCTTCGAGCCTTCTTTCGTCGAGTGCTTCCAACTCTTGAAGGCGCAACTTTGCATTCTCCTTCTCAGTCAAGCCTTCTTGTATAGCCATTCTCAGTGAGG